GATATCTGATCTGACGGTCAATGACAGATTATAAATATGCATGAAGTGAAATTTTAAATGCATCAAAGAATAACAACGCTCCGACGAGTTTGACCACCGTCTGTGTAACGTATGTATGGACTCATCTAATTACATCAAGAGTTTCGCTATGAAATATCCTGTGTTTTCCCTTCCTTAGCACCCAGGATCGGCTTTATCGGGACGGTTCCCAGGGGCCTCCACAATACAGAAATACAGGATGTCCAGATGAAAGGTATCCAAAATAAAATAATTATATCTCAGAAAGCTTTTATTTTACACATGTATCGGTTACACCACTACAAAGGGAAACTATCAAAGTTTTCTCTGCGTATATAACTCTCTCAATAAAATTAAATTGCATTCTTTCGAAAAAGGTTTTCTTTTCAGTTTTAATTATTTTCAATGAAGGACACAATTGAAATTTTGAAATAATTTTTTTTTATATTCTGTACCTATACTGAATTAAATTTAAGCACGATCTGATTTATTTCAACATGACAACTATAACTAATTCTCAATTTCGTAACTAAGAACCGAGTAATTCGTTTTATGTATTATTTACTTTTAAAAAGCCAAAGTAATAACTGAAGAGACAGGTTTAATATCGTGGCTGAAAGCTAATAAAAATAGAGCATACCATGAAGTGGGGTGAGACACGGGGTAGTTCAGAAAATTAAGAATCCGTTAAGATCTGTCCTCCTGTCCACTCCAGTTTCAGTGCAAGTCAGAAGTACGAGGAAGAGTACATTTTGATTAGAAAATTTGTGGTACTATGTACACGTATACGCTAAACCGAATTCTCTGACGTCATGGCTAGGAGAGGGGTACAAATGCCGCGTGAGACTGTACGTCGCCTGAAGGCTTTCTACGTTTTCTCTAATTCCTCTACTTGAATATCGGAGTGGTACCTGCAGACAATTCGTTCCAAATCGCTATCGACTCACCATTCCTAATAATTCTTTAACAGTCCCGAATCATCTTTTTTCCTTGGCACTACAGCCCCAGTGGGCCTAGGCCTACCTCCATGAACTTCTCCGTTCACTTCTGTTTTTCTAGATCTTACACATTCGGTAGGACTCCTTGGGCGGGTGATCAGCTCGTCGCAAGGCCTCTACCTGTACACAAACACAGAAAAACGCACACACACAAACTAAACATCCATGCCCTGAGTGGGATCCGAACCCACGATCCCGGTTTCCAAGCGAACGAAGACAGTACATGCCTTAGGCCGCTCGGCTACCGTTACCGGCCCCGAATAATTAGTGATGTTAATAAATGGATAAATAATTTATAATTCACATTTGCGTGTACTTGAGTATGGATCAAGCTATTTGCTGTAGAGACGAGGAATTTTGTTCACTCCTCTGTCAGATCCATCAGACCGGAAAGTTCAACGGTATTAACTCGTGGTTTGGTTCTTGCTAAAATAAAACACACAGGTGCATAAACTCGTAACTTTCTTTCGAATTATGTGACTGACTGACTGAAGCGTAGATAATGCTTGGGAACAAAATTAAAAACTGCCTGAAGTTGGTTATTTTCTAAGTTTTTCGTTCGGACTTTCCTATTGTTTCTTTAGTTTGAAACTGTTTATTTTGAAGTGCACTAGTATGACGTGATTCATTAGATAACTTCTTGCAATGAGTACAGTCCTTATTAAAACGCTAATAGTTATACGGCGTTTCAGGAAATTCCCTACCCTTTGTTGAAGTGGGAGAGTATTACTGTGCCCGCAAGAGCCACCACTTGTCTGTTATGAGGCAGATGTATACACTCCACATCATCATGTCCTGTTTCTTAAAGGTCATTCGTTAGATAAACTGATAAATGAGTTTTACATACTTCTTACAAAATAATTTGACAACACCGTCCAGTGTGACTAAGTATATATTTACATAAAGCCTTTACAAGTTTCGGTCAGTTGTGGCCATCTTCAGAAAGCAATAAAATCACATAGATCGTAATACGTATGCTTAAACTTTTGTATACATTTTTTTAATAATTAAAGTTGAAAGAGACTGTGGACCTGTCGTCTTGACAGATTACTGATG